CCAAATGCTTCAAATAAAGTCTAGATTTGTTTTAGCGAAAAAAACATTTTGGGGTTAGGTGCACTTTAACGGCATTGTCTCTGTCACTCACGTTGCTCGGATTTTCCTGCTTGTCCGTAGCATTTGAGGCTCTCTGGATTACTGTCTGCAACAGAGAAAAAGATAAAAATACTAAGCGTCAAAAAGTAATGATACTTGAGGCAGGTAAAGGTGTTAAAATTAACCGACGTAGATACGGCCGTCAATTAACCTTAATCAGTCGACTAGCTCAGGAGCTAGAGGCTCCACTTGCCCTCTCACGCAGAACAACAGTTTCATTAAATGCTTATTACCTCTCTCATCAGTGAGCAATTTTACGTACCCATGCGCGTTATACGCAAGAGCCCACAAGACTTCACTAGAATGTTTAAAGGTGCACCTCCTGAAGGTGTACCTAGATCGAAAAGTACTTTGCACAGTTAAACTGTTCTCATTTGTATGACAATATGATGCAAAATCAGTATGCGGGGCAATTTCGCCCGCGGCGGGCAATTTTGTAGTTTCTGCCCGAGATTACCTTCAAATAGAAGGGAACTGATTCTGAAAGTTTATTAAGGTACCAAAACACCAAATAGATCTCAAAATGATGGCAAATGAGCAAAGAATAGCGCAAAAATTAACGAAGTTAAAAGATTGACGCGAATTACTAACGACGAACTGTATGAAATTAAAGTTATACATTTTTTATTTATTTATTTATTTATTTATTTATTTATTTATTTATTTAAAGTGACACATCTTTAACAAATTACAAGTATCACAAATTACAAATTTAAGATTTCACCAACCCAACGGAAGAGGCCGCTTAATATGTACAACCCTACTATTCAGCTTCACAAACCAATGCTTATGCGCCTCTTTAAGTCAAGAAATTTCACTTAAAACTTAGTCTTTGAAAAATGAAAACATGCATTTATTGTTTTCTTGAAGCATCTAATGCGTTCTTAATTCCACAACCCCATTACTGCCACTTCTCGACAAAGCCAGGAGCTGCGCTTCATCTTACCGGAGCCTGTATTGTAACAAAGATTGAAAGTTTCTTCTTCCCATGGGATAATTCTCTTCCCCCAAAGACCTACCTGGTTTAAATCCGGAGTACTGTATATCAGTGGGAATGTTCTCATCATTCTTTATCCCCGGTAAGGTGGCCTGCAGTTGCTCGCCGCTTATGCTTGTGATCCTGAATTTCTTTGGGAATTTTATCTCTCCCAATCCATCGATGTTAAAATAGTTGTCATCTGTTCTTTTCATACAAACCCACTTGTTATTGTGTTCGATCTCCATACCCACTGTTACTACTCTGTTAAACAAGCAACAGAAACAACATCATCGTCATCTTCTACTCTTGAATTTTATGCATTTTTATTTGAAAATTTAAGCCTTGATAGCGGGGCAATTTCAATATATTAGCATTCTAACTTCCAAGGCTTACGGGAATAAAACAAAAGAAGTTAATTATTCATTCCTAATTCTTGATGCAATTTCTTTTGTATTATTCCCCTAAGCCTCGGAGTCAAGTTAGAATTTTAATATATCGAAATTGGCTATCTTCGTTTCACGTAAGAAAATATAGAAAAATTTAGCTAAAGTTTTTGCACTTCCTTTTAGGTTGTGAAAAGAAAGTCATTCAGTGCGAAATCAAAGTATGAGGCCAACAGATCTAAGAAATGTCCATTTTGAATTCCTTGTTCGATTCTGCTTTTAAAAAATATCTAGTGTAAAACTTAATTCTCGTCATATTTAGCTCGCCTTTTGTACACTGTTCCCGAAGGTGTGTGCCAATGTTTTTAATAGAAAGGAATATGGTACTCACTTGGAGTTCCTAGCTTGTAATTTCATTGACCAGGGGTTACTTCCTGTAAAACGGAACTGGANGTTAATTTTTATTACATTTATGGTTGGTATTACATTTATGGTTTTTATTACATTTATGGGTGATACAATATTTAGCACGCCTTTTGTACACTGTTCCCGAAAGTGTGTGCCAGTGTTTTTAATAGAAAGGAATGTGGTACTCACTTGGAGTTCCTAGCTTGTAATTTCATTGACCAGGGGTTACTTCCTGTAAAACGGAACTGGATGTTCCCATCTTTGCCAGGTACAGTAGGACACTCGACTGCTTTGAATGAGGTCTTGTACTTACCATAGCCTTCGATGTAAAGATCAAAACCGGCTGCGAGGATTGATACAAGATGACAACAAACATAAAAAGTCAAGCATGCCAATTGTTACATAACATGATGTAAATAGTAAGTGTATTGTTATAATGCAATAACTGCAATACGTTTCTTGGTTGTTATTTCTCAACTGACAAAAGGTCATTATTTGAAAAACGTTAGTAATATCGACGTTTTCAACTTAAGATTATAACCTCCTATTTAAAAAGATACCATGCACTCAGTTAAATTTTGTACTCACGAGAAAATAATTGTGCTCTATACTAGTGCAGTATTTTTCAACAAAGGCCATCATAAATTCAAGTTTGGCATGTACTCTTATACATATGCTAATGTTATTGCCCATTTGCATTTAAAGTTATAGAGACCAGTGATGTCTTATCAACTGCTGCAGAGTCGTGCATATAGTGGTAATAAAACTGGTATGCCTTTCACTAGTTTGCAACCATTACCACAGTCAACCCACCCTGTTTACATCCTCCACACAAGTCACCAACATAGGCCTTGTAGGTGCCTTTCATGGGGGTGGGCCCCCCAGTAGAGGGGCTCGTTTGTTCTCCATTTGCCGTGATTTCAATGCACATGTCACACCCAAGTGACTTCTGGTAGTCATCCTTTCCAGCTGCAACCATGATCCAATCAGGCTGTTTGTTCAGTGGTGACGGTGGATCTAATGCGCATGCTCCACCTCCTGGATAATCTCCGTAGTAGGTGCTCTAATTGAAAGAGAGAATGATTTTTCATTTATTTATATCTTCAATTGCAGGGAAATTCAAGTTAGATCCTTAAGACGTTACATGGCACATCAACAGAAATCTTATTTTCATCTTTTTTTTTTTTTGATGTTCAGAGTTTTAGGAAAAGAAACTTTACCTTATGTGTGCAGTATAAAATATGTAGAAAGAGAATATTAATTGCCAAGGACGAGGAAGAGTTCCCCATTTACCAACTATCGTAATTCGAAGTTCTTCAACGATGTGGCTGCCTGGGGATTTTTTTTTTTGTCAAATAAATTACAATATTTAGAGAGGAAGCCACATCAGCCTTAGCTGGTTTTCATGCGGGTCCTCCATCCTGGTCGCCTGGTTGCACAAAACCTCGTTTAAAAACACACGTAAAAAGCTAACTTGAAACGGCCCAATTCTTTTTTAATTATTTTTGAATCTGGTAATAACCAATGTCTAATCAAGTTCTCTGAACCTTTCTTCACTATTTTACAATTTCGTGTTTCACAAAAAGGGAGTTTAACAATAATGAAGTTCTGCCAAGAAAGCTTTTTGCATCTTTTATCAGTATAGATCTAAAAACGACATATTAGACTTCCACGTTGTCTAAACATTGTTGTCTTATATTGGTGTACATGAGAAGTCATACTGTGCCCCTAAATCGGAAGGTATTACCGCCAGGGATATAAAATATTGTACATTTCTATTTCACAACAACAAGCATTCCGACATATATAAAATAAACAAATTATTTTTCCCTTTGTAATTAACACTTTAGATATCAGCGAATGTCAATCTGAAGCCCTGGCGTCTCATCACAGCGATTATGCTCATAATTGTCACGACAATGCTAACTGTACCAACAACAAGGGATCATTTTACTGCACGTGTCACCATGGTTACTCAGGAGATGGTGTTATTTGTGCAGGTGAAAAATGTCATTAATCTGGGAAAGTTTAACGATGAGTGATACATAGGAAATGTAACTTAGATTAAGTAAACAACACCAGTTCTTCCAGAGCTACCCTTACCCAGACAAGACAAACTAAAACTTGAATTCTCTCTACAGTTGATAAAAATCATACTGTCACAGTAGCCGAACAACCATGGTGTTGTCTTGGTAAAGCAATGAAGCCTGTATTTCCAATAACAATCCTTGTTAAGATGACTTTATAAAAAATTCCTATCTAATGAAATGGTACAACTATTAGGGAATTGACAACTGAAAACTCAATATAGGATTATCTGATGCTCCAGGTTGATGCCCTTTCCCAAGAAAACAAAATAAATCTAGATTTACGGAAGTAAACCACACAGTTCATAAAACCATACCATTTTTCTTGTTCAGACGTAGACGAATGTTTTCCGAGTCAGTTATCTGACCCACACCTTCATCTTGCTCACAATTGCCATGCTGATGCCAACTGTACCAACACCAAAGGATCATTCTACTGCACTTGTCTTAATGGCTATTCTGGTAATGGAGTGGCTTGTTTAGGTAGGTGATTCTCATAAAGAATATATCTAATCATGTCATTATGTCCAGAGGCTCATATAACTCAATAGTGCGGTATTACCCATTAGCAGGAACTGACTAATTCCTGTAAGTGCTCCAGTTTTTCAGTTCCTTGCCCTCCTTGACGTGTTGTCTTCAAACGAAATAAACGGCAGAAACAACAAGCACGGAACTATGAAATGCTGCACTGTGAAAAATGATAAAGTTCACCACATTATTGTGAACGTTTAGTTTCCTGTCTATAGTCGACAAAAATTCATTCGCCGCTTAATAG